GGCAAATCTGAATCGATTACAATCACCATTTTACGAAATGAGGATTGGGCACCAACGTACAATTCATAATGTTTTAAATAAGTAGAGCAATTACTGAAAAAAAAACACATTCAATGCATATCCAATAATTTATTTATTTTTAATTGTAATTACAAGTTTTTGTTTTCATATGCTTGCTGGTTTGGTTAACAGATGATAAACATTCAGTTTGCAGGTTTGCAGACTTTGCAGCACAGTAACATGAAATTTAGCATTTCTCTGTTACGACCCATGGTTGAAACGTTTCGAAAATAATGAAGAAGAGCAGATTTACGATTTGCATCTTCTCATAACTATACGTTCTCTGGTTATAGGGCCTGTTCGAGGCACGTAATAAAAGCGGCATTACTGCCGTACTGATGAAAAATGACAACATTGTTGCAACTGCCCAACTGATAACACATTGCTAGAAATTCACACAGAACGTGATACTTTAATAATTCGCGCAACACTGCGGTTGTGATTGCAACTCGAACAAGCCCATAGTAAAATTTAATAAGCTATAAAACTACTTACACAAAATTTTTATAGAAATTCGAATTAAAAAGCTAGAATTTTTAATTACTTTGTAGTTTTTTATGTTTTGTATAACTTTTATAAACAATTAGTAGACACTAAATAAACAAACAAGTAGGCAAAGGTGCTATTATTTTGACCAGTACTTTATTCGTTCTCTTATAATATGATAAAATGTTAATAATTTCCTTTGTCCGGATTTTGATATGCGCCTCCGCATTTTATCTCAGTTGAATTTTTATAAGAATGAGTTGTCAATTTGAACGAATATCTTCTATTTTGTTTATTTTGTAGTATTATAAATGTATTTTTATAGTCAATTTGACTTCTTTGCACTTCAAAAGGGACAAACACAATCCGAATTTAATATTGCCATATAAAAAATAAATTCAGATTTTGCCTGTCGCTATTCAAGGGGATGCAAGGGTATGTATATAAGTTATATAATTCAGACACATAAATTATTAAGTTTATTTTATTATTATAAGAAGATCTTGTTGATGCACTCAAATTTAAAAGAAAATTATACAATCTCTTTAATTTACAAAGTAATTTATAAATTTTATAAATTTATTAATTATTTAATTTGCGAACAATTGAGCGATTCAATTCAATACCTTTCACGACGATAGTACTATCGATACCATCGATGTTTTCAACTATCGTTTCGAAAACTATCGAGTGGCGGTACTATCGATAGTATCCCAGCTCTACTGTACGGAATTGTGTTATTCTTGGAGCGACATTACAGTCAACACCCGGCAAGGAGATCACGGCTTTTGACGAAAAGAATGAGTTGTAATAATCCCAAGTCACTGTTTTAATATGTAGCTACACAAAGTGTAAACCAAAAAATAACACAAACCCCATTTTAGCGGAGAGGAATTAAATAAAAAATATTGCGAATTTTTATGTAGTCTCAGTATGTGCTGAGCTTGCTCGTACTATGTTGCGTTGTTGCAAAAGACCGTCTAGGTACGGCATACCGTCGTGCTCCCAATCGGGGAAGTGCCTTTTTGTGTCGGCGATTTAGTTCCCGACGTTAGCCAGTAATCCTGCTGTGCAATCCTCTCCGCTAATTCTAAGCGTTGCGTAATTCGACAGCCAACAGGCGTCCGCACAGGTTTAAGGCGCAAATTTTTGACAAATAGTCAAACTTCATTATTTGTAGAATCGCGGGGTAAAATTTTACGGACTATAAAACTTCTTACCCAAAAGTGTTCCACAGATTCAGTTTCAAAGTTGAAATTTTGAAACTGTGATTTATGTATGTGTTTTTGGTTAAAGCTTAGAGGTATTTTTATAGGAAAAAAAACACAAAAAATGTAGCTCGAAAAACATTATGAATATTTAAAAAAAATTAACACGTGGTCATTTGTTTGGGCCACTGTATATACGGTGGCGGGAAAATAAATAGTAATGCGATATTAACTTTTATTTTTTTACAGTTGGCCATTTTTCTTTTGTTTATTTAATGTTCCTTATTTAAAAAAAAAATACCATAGCTCACTATCATTCGAGCAGCCTTCACCAAAGTTTTTGTGAAAAAAGCAAACACATCTCATCCAACCATTTTTTTTTTTATGTATATTTCAATTAATTTATTTTATATCTTAATTATATTATAATTACTTATGAACTTACACAAATTAGGATTGCAACTTAACTAATACTTAGTGAAAAAAATTACAAAACTAAGTACAAAATTAGTATTATAACATACATACAAATACAATTACGCTCATTTGTGTTCATTTTTTTCTTATTTACTGTTATTTTGCTTTGCTGGTCACTCTCTACATAATATATGTATGTATGCATACATATAATAAACATTGAAAATATTAGAGCTAAAAACTAAAATTCACAAATTTGTTTTTTCTTTTACCATTTTCATATGTATTCATTTGCAATTTGCGCGCACTGTACACTACAAATATGTATGTATGTATATGAAGTAAGTATGTTTGTAGCAGCACAGTCTTGATGATGCTATGAAACAAAAACGTTGCGCTACAAGTAAGAATTAATGAGTATGTATTGATCTCATTTCATTTATGTAGATACGTTATTTACCTTTATCTTTCATCTTTTTATTTTAATTTCACTTAAATTACTGTCATTAGTTTAGTTTTCAAATAAAAGCATTAAAATGTATACAAAGTACATATAAAATGATAAAATTTTTAGATATAAAAAAAAATAAAAAATCTAAAGAAATTCATTAAAATACTGTAGTTGTGTGTGTGTGTGTGTGTACGTGTCATAATTGAAATTTGTGTTGATTTTTGCGCTATTTTTCCAAGCAAATTGAGTTGCTTTCAGTTTTGTGTTATCTTTAGGTAGGACCCTGGTTGCTGGGTAAGGTGTTCGAGATTAGGGAGTAGCAAGCAGGTGGTGTTGGAATCTGTGGCGATAGTGGGCGAGACGTAGCGCAGAAGTGTGTCTACGCTTTTGTACGCTCTTGCGTTTTCTTGTTTTCTTAGCATGTTTTGCGATTTTTAGTTAATTTTTACATATATTTTGTTTGGGTTTTTTGCCTTTGTTTGCCACAACAGTGCCAGTTTCCTTGTCCGTGTCAGAGTTACACTAAAATATATAGCTTGTTATCGTAAAATAATTAAATTTAATATTAAATTTAAAAAATACTCATCAAATGTAGTGTTTTGTGTTTTTATAATTGGTTAAATAATCTTTAATCTATTTGTTCAATTTTTTGCCATTTCATATTATTCAGTGCAGTTGCGCAGTTGGAAAATACTTTTAGTTTTTAATTAAATTAAATTTCGTTTCTACAATTTTTCACTTTATTAATGTTAAATATTTACTTATTATTATTAATATAAGGTTTTTTTTTTGAATTTTTTTGCTTTTCATCATATTCGCTTAAAGTTATTCGCTACTAATGTCAACTAAAACGATTTGCTTTTAATACGTATGTATATAAGTATATATATATATATGTATATTAGATATTTATGTATGTATGTATGGTTTTCACGCAACTATAATTTATCATTTCGTTGGGTGTATAATGTTTGTATACATGCAATTTATATGTACTTATATGTATGTATGTATGCATGAATGTGTATATGAGTGCATTTCTTTAAGTTCAATACAAGCTTAATTTTTCATAATTATTAAAATTGATTTTTTTCTATATACAATATTTTTGTTTGCCCACAAATCGGTCTGCTCTCTCGAGCGGCGCGTTTGTGAGCAGCATGTGTGTGTTTGTGATAGCATGGGTGTGTTGGTGATATCTTGTGTGTGTAAGCCAGCCTATTAAATTATTGGCATTTAGAAGTACAAACTATTCTAAATTATTGAAAAGTATGCAATACATTTGGAGCATTTATGCTGGTAGTTGATTTTCAAAACCTAAACAGCTGTTGTTTGTGCCAAAGCTTGTGTGCGCGATTATGTGTGAGCGTATGCACCGAGTTTTCCATCACGGTTTGGCGTATTTTCAACAAATAACTGAGTGGTAAGAAAATTATAAGTATACATTTTACAAACTACATACAGTGTGGATCCCAAATTTGAGTATGTTATTTAGAAAAAATGAGGAGAAAAGCGACTAATGGAATTAATACGAGAAGACAAAGGTTTGAACCCTCTGTTACAACAAAAAAAATCGGCAAATATGTTCTATAGCAAAGTTGAAAATCCGACTATTCAAAGCGCAGTTGTCTCAATATAATAAATAACTTTTTCTTTTAATAAAAATTAATTTCAAAAGTAAGCTCAAGCTCAACATACTTAACAGTACTCGTTTAACAACACATTTTCGTGGTTAAAACTTCAATAATTAAAAAAAAATATTTCTTACACTTTTGGCCCACACTGCCACAACTATCTACACTAGCATTTGCCTACAAGAAAATTTAAAATACTTTTTTGTTTCATTATTATGATTTTTTTCTCTCTTTGCATTAAGTTTTATGTTTTACACTTCTCTGCGCAAATTTATGCAATTATTTTTAGCCTTTTACATGATTGCTGATATATTTCGTTACAATTTTTCGTTTTTTGCTTTTTTGAAAATAATACATTAGTTATTATCAACTTTGCTTACCTAATCAACTATGTATGTATGTATAAGTATATGTATGTATGTAAGGTTGTATATATTTATAAATACCACATTACTGATAGTTGTTTCCTTTAGCATCTGCTTCATTATTGTGTTGTGACTCGGACTGCAATGCCTGCAATGTCTTCAATTTTTCACTTCATGCTTCTAGACAATAATATGTATGTATGCTTAGCCAGAGTTATATTTTTTTCTTTAGGTTTTTGGGAGTGCCGAAAATGTCTTATTTCTTTATTATTATTATTTTTTTTGCTTAAAACTTTTGACTTTTTTTCTAATAAGAACTCTAATTTGCAATAATTTTTGCTGAATATTTAAAAATGACTGATTTCTTTTTTTTTTTTTGTTTTTGCTTGCATTCTCCATTTTCCTGTTTTCTTAATCTCCCTTTTCTCAACTAAATTGGAATTTCACTGTTGCAACATTTTATTTTTATTTCTATTTAATTAATTGGTTCTGCTTTTTTTGTTTGTTGCTTCTCTTAATCACTAGAATACTTGAGGTGGTGATGCATTTGATATCATGAGTGCTTATCAGTCAACTCAGTCCAGCGTAATTCGAAAAATTTGCGCATTCCATGACCCGCTTTGCCGACCGGCGAATCATCCTCATTGAACATTTCACAATTATCGAATATTTGGCGCACATCGACGCAAAAGTCTTCACGACTTTTATAGCTGTGAAAAGAAAGAGAGACGAGATTTTAATAAACAGTGGCTTATTAAGCATTGTCGAGAGAGAGAGAGAGAGAGAGAGAGAGAGAGATGTCGTCAAGAGCGACCAACGCCAGGCCCAGATCAGGTCTTTAACCTACTTCAGTATTCAAAACTTGTTTGCGTCAGAGTTACGCGGAGCTATCGAGGCAGCTAACGCTTTTCCTTTGTCGGGTACGACGATAAATTGAGAGACATTGTGAAGTATGCAAATACCACCGAACTCAAGTGTTTTAGCATCAACTTGCATAGTCCGTCAGGGCCAATTGTTTTCAAGACTTTTAGCTTTCCAGTGGCCACTTGAACTTCCTGGCTAGTGAAAGTAAGAGGCACACTAGGATTTTGGGAGGTGCTACTGCTTTCTCGTCACTCGACCTTTAAACATATAAACCGACGAAGCATGCAGTGTGAACTGTCGACTAAAATAGCGAATTTTGTCGGGTTCGTCTCCAGCATAAAAAATCCCCAAAAAAGGTTCTTTGTAATGCTGCTGAAGGAACAATCCTTTGGTAGAAATAAATCTGGATCCTATAGCATAGACCCGACAGTCAAAATGGAACGTGTTCGTGACTTTCGATTTGCATTTAGACTCGGATTTATCTTAGTATTTTATGGTAATATCGTGCCTGTTTCTTTACTAAACACTCTTAGCTCCATAAGTCTATTTTACCCTAACAAAGTGAAAGGTTTTCCACTTACAAAAAAAAATGCAAAAGGTAATATTACTCACGTTAAGTCCTGTATGCGTTTCTTGATTGTGGACAAATCCATGGGATTTTTAATAATCTTACGGTAGGTCGGAAACTGTTTAGTATTTACTGGCAATAAAAATGGCCACGAATCTTCATGCAGCTGTAAGAGATGAGAAAATTAAAAAAAACAAAAACTCCTCTCACAACTTTTCTACCGCACCACGCTTGCTTACCTCCATTTCCCCTAGCAATGTCTTGCAGATAGCCAACTCTTTTATGAGCTTCTTCGTTGCATGCTTCTCCTTTTTCTCTTGCTTCAGCTTCTCCTTCGCCTCTTGAACGGCGTGTATGTTCAAGGGCGGCGGCGCCAATGGCTGAGGTGTGCCACATTGACTCATTGGCGAGAGCGCACCAAACTGATGCGCTGCCGGCGACTGTGACTGCGAGTAGGAGCCCATCGTTTGCGGCGAGTGCAAAGTAGGTGTGCTGGCACGTGGCGACTGCATGGCAGCTGTGGGTGCATGGTTACTGCTTTGCTGCGGCGACATAATCGATGACTGCATTAGCGGTGATAGTTGTGGCTGCTGCAGCTGTTGTTGTTGCTGCTGGCTCAGCGCTGTAATGGAAGTTGGCGGCATTATGAGCGGTAGCAATGCAGAGGGTTGTGGCGAAGTGCTAATGGCGCTGGCGGGCGGCAGCAGCGATGGCGGTGGCAACGGCGACTGAGCGGCTGTGTTGTAAGACGGCAGCGGCGGTAGCGGAGGTAGCTGCATTATGCCATTGCTATTCATTTGCAGCTGGGCAAGCTGATGGTGCTGACTGAGCGTTAGTTGCAGGTAGTTAGTGGCACTCATATTGCCTATACCACCAGTCGCGGTACTTACTGTTGGTAGGGTTGGCGTCAAGTGTGGAAATAACGTGCCACTATCGGGCAAGGACTGTGGCAGTTGTGATTGAGTTGTTACATAGCTTTGAATGCTTGTATCGGGAGCTACGCTGTTGTAAATTGGCACCGCAAGCGGCAAGTCGGCGCTAGGCATCGAATGTAAGACCGGCGCTGACTGAGCGCCATCTGCGCAGCCATCCGTTGCCGTGTAATCGTTGTTAGTCAAATGTGTGGCGTGGATGTTATTTAGTGCTGGTGGTGTGGTGTCAGCCGCTGCATTTGCATCTGGCAGCATAACTACTGGCGCGCCAACACCTAAATCAGCGCTTACCCCCATACCCATTCCTCCCAATGCAGCATTGCCGCTAACCATTTGTTGTTGTGGCTGCTGTTGTTGTAGTGGTTGTTGTAGCTGCTGTTGTAGTGGTTGTTGTTGTTGTTGTTGCTGTGTCTGGAAACGCATCGCATCGATCGAATTATTGTGATGTTCATCGAACGAGGTGGAAGCAATCGAATGCGTCGGACTGCAAATACCAGAGGCGGGTTAGTAACGTCAGGCGTGACATGCGGCGCTGCCTGAGCGACCTACCTGAGCGGCGTCGGTAGCGAGTTCATTGACTCGTCATGCGACGAGTTCAGCGAAAGCTGTGATGAATTGTGCAGGTGGTGTTCCGCCGAGGCAGCTGCCATGGCCTGCGCCTGCGCTAGAACCGCAACCTGTTGCTGTTGTGGCTGCTGCTGCTGTTGTTGCTGATGATGATTTTGCTGCTGGTTCTGCTGCTGCTGCTGCTGTTGTTGTTGTTGTTGTTGCTGGATATCAACATTCGACGACGACGATGAATTGCTATGGCGATCCCGTCGTTTCGAAGAATCGCGGTCACGTCGCGGTTTACTGCTGGTTCGCTTCTTCGGGGGTGGCGCCTTCGTGACGCAGCCGTGGCAATACCACTTGCCACGCGGCACCTTCAGCAGCGGCGGTATATAGCAGTCGGCGTGATAGGCGCGCGGACATAAATCACAATAGATCATTTTGCCGACGGGCGCTGGTCGCAAACCGCCACAAACAATGCATTTGCGCTCATTTGTCGCCTTATTGACGCATTCATAGCAATACCTGAAAAAGGTGCGGAATAAAAAAAGAAAATGGCAGAGGGTTTAAAAATTATTGATGAGAACAAATAAGAAATTAAAAATACAAAGAAATAACTAAATGACGACTTCGAGCTGGACTGTGGAAAAGGTAATTAAAAAACGCTAAAAAAAATTAGTGCGCCTGATCTACATTGCGGAAGTGAAACGTTTCTCGATGCATTTCTTGTTCATTTCCTTCTACAGTCGCTATCTTAATCATAATCTTAAAACTAGCCTCAATCTCAATATTAACCTTAAATCGCTGCGAAAAAGTTACTGTAAGTGGCAAGAGGTAGAGATAGAATAGTCGAGGAAACGAAACTTTGAGCGAACGACAGTTGAAAGTCTTTTGTAAGACAATTAAAAGGTAGTAGGCAAGATAATTTAAAAGATTTGATTTACTCTGGCACGAAAGTCTTACAAAAAAGCTCCCCTGCCAACTTTTATAGTGAAAAGCTCTTTTGGCAGAAGGCACTTGAGCAAAACATTAGCGTGTCATTCGAGAGATCCGAGGTGCGAAACCTCGCGCAGCGGAATTCTAATTTTCTATTAAATTTTGGTTTCGTTTTTTTTTTCTATATTTTATTATTGCTAAAAGAAAAATTTGAATTTTTTAATATATTTAAATTTTTAGAAGCTTATTTTCTTTTACTTTTTAGCAAGTTACTGAGCTTTGTATCACGATTTGTTTGTTAGGAAAAATGAAAAAAGCAACAAAGTCTAAGTGGTAGAAGTTATAGCTGCTATTTCGGAGACCACCGTAGGTTTTTTTTTATTTTATTGCATATTTTTAACCCTTTCGACCCGGAACTCTACTATCAATGGTAGCTTTCAATTTATGGGTCCAATATGTTATTTGCCCCACAAATACATGTTCTTCGGTGTCAAAGTGGGCGTGGCGTAAGGGGCTGATTCGGAGGGTGGTAGTAAACCATTGTACCATCCGGGATGTTAAGTGGTACATATCTGTACCAACCGTCCTCTAGGACATTCTTAAAAATGTTTTATCTTTTTTAGAACCAAACAAAACGATTCATTTATTTTGCATTTGAATAATGCACAAATTTAGTAATAATAAACAGTCAAAGAATTAACAATAAATTGGTAATGAATTCCTAAAATATAATTAAATGTTGCAAAACAGAATTTACACAAAGGAACTT